GTGTTAGGGCATGTGTAGATAAAACAGGGGCCCCAAATTGAAGTGGTGGGTTTTTGAAAGCACTGCTTCCATTTAGGGGCCTTTAAACCCCCATCTCCTGCCTCTCCGGTAGCGGGGAGGGCTAGCTGTTGGCAGGTGGAGAGGTCCCTGGGCTGCAAGGGTGGGTGGGGACTGGTGCTTCCCTCCACAGCAGCAGCACCCCACCCAGGCAGCACCTGCCTGCGGGCACCTGGCTGCGGTGCCCCCTGGGGCCGCCTAAGCTATGGAGGGATGCACAGGGCCCCCGCACAGCTCAGGCAGGCGAGTTCCAGGGTGGGGGAGGGACCAAAAAAAAAAAAAAAGAAATCACTCCTTTTTTTTTTATGCAGAGCCTGCCTTCCCAGGCTGCCTGCAGGGCTTCCTGCAGGGCCCCTGAGCTGAACAGATCCCGGTGCTTTGCTCTGCAGCTGTAGGGCAGCAAACTAAAACTCCTTAAAGGAGTTTTAGTTTGTTGTGCCCTAAGTCATTTGAGGCCCATTATGCTGGCAAATTTGCTACAGCGGCTGGAATTACTGCGCAATACACTGCCGACGTGTGCAAACACCAACACCATTAAAGCAGTGAAAAAGCATTTAACCCGCTTTAAAGTGTCGCGCGCACATGCCCCTCACTTCATCTATACGCAGGCTTAGTGTGTTCCCCAACCTAGTTCCTAAAATTCATGTGGAAATCCATTCTCCACCCCTTCCCAAATGACTACTTGGTCTTTCATAGCAAGACACAACCAGAAGTAAGTTCCGTGTCTAAAGGGCATGGTTAACCACATCTAGATGGATCTAATCCCTTCTTAGTACTTAATCTGCAACTCTCTCTTGAGCTAAGAATAAAAATATGCCACCTTGTGGGGCTTTGTGATCTTAAATATTTACCCCCCCACACACACACACACTTTCCAACTAGCTCCTAATGCACCCACTTCTGTTCTCAGGAAGAAAACAACAAATCTCCAAAGTTGCTTATATCTCTGTCAGTATGTGATTAATTATTAGAGTCCTGTATAATAATTAATTTCTTCAACCTTCTTACAGACCCTACAGATTCCTCCTCTGCTCCCAGCTCCACCAGAGAGGAGAGAGAAGAAACCACTGCAGAACCCTCGACTACAGCGGCGGATGGTAAGGAAAAACTGCAAGCAATTGCAATCCAAGCAACATGCTAGAAATACTCATGGAATTATTCTTTTGGAAGCCAGCAGGATCCAAATTTTCAATAAAATGTCTCAAATTTGATACGTTTTGACTTAAATTACGTAGGAAGAAAGAGCTACTAAGCTAAGACATCTTCATTTTTAGAATAGCAGGCTACTAAGATCCTATGGATATACTGGTACAAAGAAAAGTACTGTCACCAGATAGTTCAAAATCCTGCATTGAGGAGAAAATTGAAAGCAGTTCAGTGTGTGAGTAAACAGCAGGTAAAACTCCTACTAAGGAGCAGTTTACCCAATGCATAACTATGTAATAAATTGGCTTCATGTTGGGGATGGACACAACACTAGCTCTCCCAAGGTGAATGTCCTCAGTAAGGCATATTATAGTGTCGGGCAATGTGGTATTGACAGATAATTTCCAGATTTAGGAGGGTTGGATCCAGCCCGCCAGCTGATTGGATTCATCCTGCAGGCAGGCACCCACCAATTAATTGGATCTGGCCCAGACAGAGGCTGACCCGGCTGCACTCCATATGGGGCTGAGTCAGCACTGACCACTTACTACCCAACTACTCCTGATATAACTGATCTTGCACCAAGGATGAGAACAACCACCAGTGTCTCAACTTTGACTATAGCTAAATTGTACAGTAGTAGTAATAAATCAGTAGAGTATATATTGTTGACCCACATCAGAAAAATGTAAAGGGCCAGTTCACCCTAACAAAGTCCTCCACCTTCTTACAGGCACTCCAGAGTCCACAGATTCCTTCTCTTCTTCCACCACCATCACAGAAGAGAGTGAAACAATCACTACTCCAAAATCACTGACAACTGCTACTGATGGTGAGGGACTAAAGTGTAAACAAATATTTTCAATTTTTTGTTTTGCTTTTTATAATACAATTATATGAACAAAGATGGGAATTGATATTTTTGTTTTTCCACAGTAACAGATACTGGATACACAACTTTGATACCCTCTGGTGAGTAAAGAATTTTTAATGATTCTGCCCATGTGTTTTGCAACTCCCAGAATTGTCAGAGAATTAGTGTTTCTGTCCAGCCTAGTTTCTCAAGCTTTCAAAGTGAGGTTTCCCCATCCCCTTCCAAATGATTACTACTTCTTTATCATGTATGATGCAGAAAGTTTGTCTGTATCTATCCAACAATCTGCTTTTTCATAGAACCAAAATGCTCCTTCATATTTTAGTCAGTAACCCCACTTTTGCTGAGAATATAAGCCATTACACCTTTTGGTGTTTTTGATTCTTTGTCAAGGAAGGTGAAGCTAAAACAGAACATATTTCTACTTAGGCTTCTGAAGCAACCAGCACTATCACATTGATGTCAATGACAGAAATCCCCCAACTTTACCTGTTATTTAAACTGTAATTAGTGCTTAATTTTTAACCTCAAGGTAAACTTCTAGGATGTGATTTAAGCAAGGCTTCTGACACTCCCATGACATTCTCATAGAATCATAGAAGTAGGGTCGGGAGGGACCTTGTAGATCTTCAGGTCCGACCCCCCGCCTGGGCGGAAGAAAAGACTGGACTCAAATGAGTCCAGCCAGGTAGTCATCAAGCCTCTTCTTAAAGATCCCCAGGGTAGGAGCCAGCACCACTTCCCTAGGAAGTTGGTTCCAGCTCCTAGCCGCCCTAACTGTGAAGTAGTTCTTACAG